AGGGCCTTTGTAAGGCGGAGGTGAAGGGGGAAAAGCACTCCAGGAACAGGAACTAGCCTGCTCAACGGCAGGTATATGGAAGACGGATCTTATATGTGAAGAACAGTAACTATGCCAGTTTGGCTAGAACATACAGTGCATGAGAGCAATGGCCAATAATCCTGGAAATGCAGACTGGAGCCAGAATTTGAAAGGCTTTATAGGTCAAACAGAAGACTTAGTTTATTCTCAAAGCAAAGGAGAGCCACCAGACCTTGCTGAGCCCGGGACTGTGTCAGACCTATGCATTAGGAACATCAAATTTGGCAATTCTGTAGGAAGCTACAGTAATAATCCACACAAGAGGTAATGTGGACCTGAGTGAAGAAAAGGGGATGCCCCCAACGGGAGGTGTGAAGTATCTACAAGACTTAGCAATTGATTGTAGATAAGAAGGCTGAGGGAAAGGAAAGACTGAAGGACAACCCCAAGGTTGCAAACCTAAGTGACAGAAAGGATGATGGTGCCCTCAACAAAAATATGAAAATGAGGAAGAGGGGAATTTAAGGGGAAAGACAACGAGCTCCATTTTCTACGTGTGGTGTTGGAGATGCATACAGAACATCCAGCTGCAGGCGGTCTATGAGGCAGTTCATAATGTGGGAATGGAGTTCAGGAGAGAAACTAGGCAGACAGCAATCTTGATTTCTGGCCTATTCAGAGGGAAAAAAAACTGAATAGATGATAATTCTGGAGCCACTGTAACTTTAAGGCTGAAGTGCATTTTCAGATATGCATGAGGAAAGTGTGCCACTGCATGAAATATCGAATATGTCAGAATTTTTCAACGTATTGGTTTTTGCTGAATTTTTTCCTCTTTCTTTTAAAAATGTTTTGGTTTTTTCTTCCTTATAAGGGCTGTTCGGGGAGAGGATAGCAGGAGGGATGCAGCAGGAAATCTAATCAATCTAAAAATAAATTTATCAATTAAAAAAAATCTTATTTTTTAAGTACATCAGTGCCCCCTTCTTCAATTGGTAAGTCTTGAATCCTTTGAACAATTTTTTCCCCTTGAAAACAGTTGTTAAGGCCTTGGATAGTAGAAGAGGTCAGAATGTTTGCATATTTGTGAAAACTCAGATTTTATCATAGCAATAGAAAAGGCAGTGTGGCATAGTGGATAGAATTCTGGATTTGAGGTTAGTGGATCTGGTTTCATATCCTGCTCCTATTCCTTACTGTCTGCACTAATTTGGGCAAGTGTAAAAACGCAGGGATTGGAGCAAATGATAGGTCCCTTCCCGCTCTAAATTCTGCGATTCTAAACCTAAGATGTGGTGCCTCCCTTTCCTTATCTAATAATAATGATAGCTTTTCACAAATTGTAATACAAGGTAGCATTGTTAAATGTTGAATGAATGGTAGAGATATTACTAAGAGTAGCTATAGGAGTTCCAGGGAAAGAAAAGGTTGCTCACGCCAATTACCATCTGAAGTTTCACTGAGGAGCAAGGATGTAAGCTGAGCACTGTACAACGTGGAAATTCATACAGTTGGAGGGAAGGATTTTCACAATGCAAAATCTGTATGAATGCATCGTACTGCACTGGGATTCAGCCTCTTTGTTCACTGAATATTCGGTATTTTATCTTGATATAGCCACGTTTGCAGGCATTTTCCCAGGAAGTACTTCTCTGCTCATAGAGAAAGCATAAAAATATAAAAGTGGCAGCTTTTCTCGTCTTTTTTTTTTTAACGTGCCTCTTCAGAACTTCAGTGAATCCTTGATCAAATCTGTAGATAGTTCTTTCAGTGCAGATTGTAACCATTCCACACCTTTTCATTCTGTTTGGTAGGCAGTGCAACAGTTACGGTGTTGGGCTTGGAGTCAGGAAGACCTGAGTTCAAATGTGACATTAGACACTTACTAGCTGTGTGACCAGGGGCAAGTCATTTAGCCTATATGTGCTTCAGTTTCCTCATATTTAAAATGGGGATAATAATAGCATCTATTCCACATAGTTGTTGTGACATCAAATAAGTAAACATAGATAAAGCACTTTGCCAACTCTGAAACATGATGTAAATGACGGCTTTTGTCATCAATTCTTGCTCATATTCTCTCACAGGAAACCGCCTGTCAGTTTCTAATGGTAAATTTCTCCTCTCCCTGCCTACTCAATCTTTATCTTTCTCTGTGAGCATTTAGATAGCTCTAACATATTAATTCAATGAGACTGGCCTTCCAATGACATGTCACCATTCGGAAAATGGACCTTTTCCCATCCATTTAGTTTAAAGTTCTATTCCAGGGTCTCACTGTGAAGTGGAAGAGAACCTGGGATCAGGAAGATTATGCCAGTGAGAGGCACAAGTACTGGCAGAGCCTTCCATTGTGGAAAACCTTTGAGTGTAGTCCCAAGGATTAAATAAGTCTGCTGTCTAATGCCTATGATGAGTATAGAGTATAATCCTTAGTAGGCTATCCTTTTGGTGATATAGGCTTTGAATCCTTTTGAAATGACAACCCCTTCTGTAATTAGAAATAAAGGGAAAAAATTTTAAATGGCCCTCAGTCTTACTTGACTCCCTTCCTCAGTGATGGTGATGGAATGATGGCATAGGGTGCTAAGAATCCCCATCATTTTAGAGGTCCGTAAACAATAACAACTGTCATAACCTAACTGTATGATCTTTATCCAGTGACAAACTAATATGTTTGGAAGAGCGGGACCACTTCACTATTGATACTCTAACAATTAACAAAACCACAAGACAAAGAGAAGTTGAAACTAAATAAAAAGAATGCTTCTAAAGCTCTCCTTGGATCAGCAAACAAAGGAACTAGTAGTTGGCTTCAACATGAACCCCAAGAAAACAAAAACGAAATCATTTCATGAAGTGCCCAGTCATCTCATTTTTAATCGTTCATAATTAGAGTAAGTGAAAAGACCATCATAGAGATATGGCAACTTATCTGCCATATCGGTTACAGAAAAAAAAAAACTGTGAAAGGCACTTTACACAAGCATATACCTGCATATGTACTGACTTCAGAATGAAGATGGGGATATCGAAGATAGCAACCCCCCCCAAAAAAAAGAGGGGCTAGAAAATATGGTTCAGCTTTGAGAAACAAGGCTTAGAGAAGCCAGAAGCCTTCTGCCCATAGATTATAAATACTTTTTTTTTTCCAGAGGAGAATCAGGTAGTAAACAGACTATGTGCTACACACAGCACCCCACAGGATATAATTTAAAAAAAAAAAAAGGAAACTAAATGACTTGTTATTAATGTGGGAATAATGCAAAAGCTGCCCACATTGTATGGCCGGACCATTTGCTAGTTGGAATAAAAATATGAAGCCATTGCATATACCTGCAACAGCTACCACTTGATCTATTCGAATAAAACATCATGAAAAACAGGAAATGGAAAAAAGGCAAAGATTTTACTTTGTTCATTACCATTTTCTGTAAAAGTTTAGTGGATGAAAGGCAGGTAGGTTTTTCCTTATTACATGAAAAAGTTTCATCATCACTTTGTAAATAAGACTGAAGATGCTAAAAAGTTGAATGACTCTGTTAGGACCCATTATTTTTCAGAAAGCTGTACAGCTTTCCCTTTATACACCGTGCTTCTTATTGTTAGCACTCTATTTACTTGTCCTACTCTAGCACCCCTGAGTTGTTCACAGTAAAGAGCCTTAAAGTCACATCTGCCTATTTCCTTGATAGTTTTGTCTTAAACATCACTTATAAACTCTAAAATCAGCAACCTCTTAGCCCTGCTTTATTTCTGAGCTCTTTTGTGTCTATTTTTTGATAGCTCAAAGCATGATTTTCTTTTAATCTGGTGTTGAGCAGAATCCGGTTTCAGCACCATCATTTTAAAGCCTCCTCGCACTCTGAACAGTGATAACGTGGGAGCAATACTAACTTGTCCCTTATTGGTGTGCTATTTAATGACTGCAGCACTGCCTTGGGAGCAATAAACTATGTCTCTTTCTTAGATGGCAAATACTTCCTTTCCTACTTTGAGACTTTTTATCTACTGGAAAGATCTTCAGTATTTCAAATTTATTCTGATTACTTTGTTAGGACCTGGCCTTTCTGTCCACACACAGAAATATTGGCTTCTGGCTTGTTGCCTCACACACTTTTGGCCATGGTCCAGATGGATCATCCAAGAGTTTGTCATGCAAAGGCAAGGAAGGTTAGAAGACTGCTCATGTGGCCTTAACAAATGATGGGGTCAGCAAGCTTGTCACAAAAATACAGTATACTTGTAGAAACAGCTTTCTAGAAAATATTCTCTTCTGCAAAAGAACTGTTTGGAAGAAAACAGAAGAAATCATAGACAAGAAGGGCAGCTATAAAACTAATGTTGAATTATTATAGAGGCCAAAAAGAAAAGTAAGGTGTATTCAGTTTCATGTACACCCCTTTCTGTCCTAATGTGTCTAGGTAAGTACTCATTTTATCTAATATTTGTTAAGTAAGATAAAAAGGGGGAAAGGATTTTTTTAAGGATTAAGAAAAATATTAGCTGATTTTCCTTTCTGCCTTCAGCGATTGACAGGCTACACTAAATCCTCTTGGTTGCTTCTTTTGCCCTTTTCCTTAGTATAATTGCTTAAAATCTACTCTAATGATTTTTCTTCATCCATTATAGAAGAAACTCTGACTCTCTGCATTGTGTATTCTGGAGCAGAAGTATTTTGTTGGAAAGCTTTACTGTTACATATGATTTGCATTTTTTACTAGACACTTGTTCTTGGTCTTAGAAGACAAACATTTTCATTATTTCTTTGTACAGTGGTAAGAATGCCAAAATGCAAATCGAGAGCATCCTCTGAAGCCCTGATACACAAATCGTTCTACTTGTAGTTTTATGAATGCAATTCTAGGCTCTAAGAATGTGGCCTCCTTTTGGTTCTAGATCCCCTAAAAACTGCCTTCCCCAAACTCCTGCACTATATTTTCCCCTCATAATAGCAACACACAGTCAAATGAACTGACCTGTATTGATGTCCCTTTGAGGAGAATTAGCAGGGAAGTGAATGAAGTATTATTTATTCAGCTCAATTCCTGTGCTCCAGAAAACCGATTTGTTCCTCTTCTGACCAATAAAAACAACAGCTCCCGTTTGCATTGTGGTTTTCTGAAAACAAAGTGTTTTCCTAATTCTGTAAGACAGACATAACAATACTTATACTGCCTATCCTGCAAATGAGAGTTAACTGACTCGCCCAAGGTCACACACAGCTAGTAGGGAGCAGCCTGGTTACCCCGGACCAGAGACTGCTTTCGCACCACCCCCGAGGCCACGCCCCTGCTGCCAAATTTAAGGGCACAGTGAACAAGGCAGAGCCGGTATGGAGAAGCAGAGATAGATCCCCAGCTTACGGTGAGCGCAGGCTCCTGGGGGGTCTTCAGAACCAGACGTGAACACTGCCTGCGTGACCTTGGGTAAGTCACTTACGGATACTTGGTCACTGCTCCCCCGCTTTGTGAAAAAAGACGATGGGATGAGGTCCGCTCGCCGGCCCATCCTGGGGGATGGATGTGCAACGCACGTGTTGGAGCTGGGCTGAGGACCAACCTACTGAGAAAGGCAAACCCTCCGTCCTTCAGCTGAGACAGCTCACTCTACCTCCGGCCAGCCCTTCGTTCCTGGGATGCCTCGTCGGCCGCCTCGGCTTCGCGAGTCCGGAGCTCGGGGGACGCAAGCATGGGCTGCAGGGCAGGACAATGAACCCACTTCCCATCGCATTGCCTGCGGGCTCACACTACAACTCCCGGGATGTAACTCGCATGGACCAAACTACAACGGCCGACATGCGCTGCGGCGTACTCGCCCCTTTGAATGTCGGGATCTGTAGTCCACACGCTCCACCTTCCGGTGAGCCACCAAACCCCTCCCACTCGTATCTTCCGGGGTCGGTGCGGGAGTGGGGGGTGAGGGTGGAGCCTTAATTCCAAAGTAAAACCGTCGCCTTGGCGGGGGGAGCAATCGAATAACAACCTCCAACTCCCCGTGTTCACTACGGGCCAATAAGGTGGGCCAACTCTAGTCATGTGACTCTTACCGGAGTAGCGCTTTTGTATCAATAATTCCTTCGCGCGAGAAGCTGTCTCTTCTCTATGGTTTCTCCTGGTCGTATGAGGGTGGATGGGCCTCTGGAGGACTCCGTACATTCTTCCTCCATTACCTCACTGTCTCCGGAAGGCTGCCGGGATATCGGAGGACCCAGTTCCTACCTCGGTTCAGTCCTCCAGCTGCCCAGGGAATCCCTCCAGCAGCTCCTCCTTGCCGCCGCCGCCGTCGCCGCCTCCTCCGCCTCCGCCTCCTCCTCCTCCGCCTCCTCCCCCCTTCCTCCTCCTTTTCCTCTGGCCTGGCCCGGCCCGACGCTCTTCACTCCGACTGGAGGGCCCGCTTCTCTCGGGAGCCCCCACCCAGGCGCATGGCTCCATGAAGCGGGAGGAGGAGGAGGAGGCACAGCGCGAGAAGTCCCGGCTGCTCCAGGGACTGGAAAAAAGGTGAGAAAGTCGGGGTTGCCGCCGCCGCCGCCCTCCGCGCCTGGTCTGTGGGGAGGGGAGGGGGCTGGAGCTCGAGTCCGGGCGGGGGAAGCCGAGGGGCTGGGGGGCCCTGGGCCCCGAGGCCGGGCTTGAACGGGGGCCGCTGGCTGTAGGCCGGGGGACTGGGGGCAGGCTCGTAGCTGGGAGCAGGCGGGAGGACCCTGCGGCCCGGCCCGCCCCCGGCCCCCTGCGGCGGGGCTCAGGCTGCCTTTCTTTTAAAACCCTTTTCGAAACAGTCTCGGGTTTGTGGAAAGTTTGGCGGTGTCGGGCGCCCCCTGGCGGCCAGCGCGGGGCCGGGACCCGCCGCCCCCTCCCCTACCCGGGCCTCCCCTCCCCCGCGGCGGGATTCCGGGGGTCGCCCCCCCCCAGCCGGCCCCAGCTTCACCCGCCGCCCCCTCCCTTGTGACCCCTGCACTTGGGCTGTCTCTGCTCCCTGCTCTCCCTCCAGTTCTCACCTTCCTCCTCCTTTCTCCACTTTACCCCTTTCTTTCTCTACTTTCCTCCTTTCTCCCCCTTTCTCTTCTATTTCCCCATTCCCCCCTTCTTTCCCCATCTTCCTCTTTTCTCCATCTTCCCCCCTTCTTTCTCCCATCTTCACTTTTCTTTCCTCACCTTCCTACCCTTTCTTGTTCCACGACCTTTCCCACTTCTCCTTTTTCTTTACCTCTTCCTCTTACTTTCCTCATCCTCCATCCAGTATTGGTTCCCATGATGTTCCATCACCTTTTTACTTGACACTTTTCTACTCTTTCCTACTATCTTCTGATTTGCTGTTCCAAGGAGATTTTTTACTTCCTTGGCTGTAGATTCCCATGTCATCTCCCCAACCATCTTCCTCACCCCTCAGCTTTCCCTAACCCAGAAACATCCTTTCTAGCTTCTCTAATCTTTCTCATCCTTGTCCTGGTTTGACCTTCTCTTGTCCTAGTCTCCCAGTCTATTTCTCTTACCACACTTCCTCTGAGCTTAACCAACCCAGTCCCCCCTTTTCTGATTTGTCTTCTTCACCTCCTGTCTAAGCAGAACTAAACCTGAATCTTACTTCCCCAGAGATCCCTTACCTTCTTACTCCCTCCCCCTTTCTCAGCCCCTCAGAATATGGGGCCTAGAATCTCCTGCTCAGCACCCTCACTCTTTTCCTTGGAATTAGCCCTGTCTCCTAGTCCTTACTCACTCTAGCCCTAGGAGCCAGAGGAGGACTGGGGAGTGGACAACAGATGCAGGAGCAGGAATGTGGAATTCTTAGAGCATCCAGTCATCCTTGCTACAAAGGAAATGAAATGTGTTGCCCCTGCTACCCTGGCAGGGGTGTTGGTATGGGGCTGTCCATCAGTTCTTTGCTGATTGCTTTTCTGAGGATGTGAAAAATTCTTTGTTCGTGAAATTCAGGAGCAAGCAAGTTTTAACCTAAAGTTAGGAGAATTTTTGATGCACCTTATATCCCACAACATTTTATAAAACATTAAATTCATTAACATCCTTCCCTTTGATATAACATCAAGGATAGGGTGGTTCAGGAAATGTGACCATTGCTGCTGCTTTCAAGCTAGTCTGCTAATGTTATCTAGGTTTCTGAATGTTTTGAGGTGAGGAAAGCCTATTCGGCAGCCACAGTTTTCTAGAAATTTCTCTCTTTTCTTACCTACTACAGAGAAATAGGCCTTATTTCTCCTTTCTCAGATTTTGTTAATTCACTGCCTTTACATTTTAGGTACAGAAAGCAGGAATGGAACTGGAAAAACGAAAATTCATTGCAGATACAAAATAGCTCCCCCCCTCTGCTGTAGCTGCCCCTCTGGCCATATACATTTTCTGATTTCAGTGAGTATGACCTTGTACTTACTCAAAATAAAATGTGTAGCTGTCTTAGAAATAAAAGAAAACTTCACAGCCTAGGTGTGCGTGTTCTTTTCCAGTAGGAGGTCCTGCATACCTTGAAAGCTTCCAGTTTTGATATTTTTAGTTGCCCAAGGAGTCCTGATGATGATGGAGTCCATTGTTCTTTCTTTCTCTTTGACTTTAATTGAAGTCATTTTATTTTCCATAATCTTTGAAGTAAAATTAGAAGATGGCATAGCTTCGGCCTTTCCTTTTTATTCTAGATAGATTATGATGAGACTGAGTGAAAATAAAATTCAGTAAGTCTACTATACTAACTAAACATTGTGCTTCCACTGGTTTTGACAAGAAATAGCCTCTGGAGTTGGTGCAGATCAGTCAGTATCTAAGGGAATTCATAGAACTATGCAGTAAGTTTATGCTGTACACTGCCTTCTGGAGCGTTTGTCTCAGCTTTTGCTGTTGACATCATTTTAATGAAATCTAATTCATATATAAAATTCACAGGTGGTATGGAAAATAATTGGTATACTAAATATAAACCCCAAACAAAGGTCTAAAGTGAAGCTTTAGAGCAGCTAAACATAAGATTTCACAAGAAAGCCTTTGTTGTGTTTTCTAGATTTTCCACATACACTTGTCAGCTTTGTCGATATGCAGAACTGATTTTAGCTCCTTTTAACAAATTACTAAGCCAAGGCTCTGTGAAATTATGATTGGTCCATAGTCATGTAATATCAAACCCAGACTCTTCCTAAATTGAAGGAAATATTGAACATCTGTCCAAATAGGTTTTGGAAAGAAATACTAAATAATGCATATATATTACCTGTGTATTTGTTTTCTGGGATGACAGGGTTGAAATTATAATTTACAAGCAATTATTGTTCTTGAAGTTGAACTAGCAAAAATATAGGAACAGTCTTTGAAGCCATTGTTTGTGGCAAGTGCTAGAGTGTTTTTTTTTCCTCTTACTGATTTCTGTAGGTAGGACAAAATCACATCTCAGATGCAGTTTCTTTGCCCATAAAAATAGTTAAGAAATTTGTGGATTTTTTTCCTTTCCTTATAACAAAGATTGCCATGTCTTAGCGTTGTAGAGAGTTTGATTAAGACAGATTTCAGGACTTTGAACAGAACTCCCTATCCCCAAAAGTTTCTGTCCTTTTTTGTTAGAAGACCAAATGTTGAAACAAGATATCTTAGGCTCTTTCTCAAAAAATAAAAGTACATTTTTTCTTAAACCAGATTTTGATAGCTCCTTTAACCTAACTTGGAAAATAACCCCAGTTAACCATTTTGTATAGTAGTTTCTTTACCTTCTTTCCAGCAGGCTTCATGTTTTCTCCACCAATGGCATATTTATCAAATGAGCCCTTTTTTAAAAGTCTGTTCCTTTGTCATACCAGCTTTTATTAAAGATACAGGTAGATGAGGGTTCCTTCCCACTTTGGGATAGTCCATGAACTACTTAGTTTCCTAACATCTCATACTGAAAGGTCAACAAGTGATTTTATGCATGAACGTATTGTTGAAAGGGAAAAAAATTGATTACTAGTGACAAAGAAAATTAAAAGTTTATCAGAAAAGTAGTTCTGTGTTAGTCATGTGATTTGTCGAGTTGTAAGGTGGTTCTTTGTAGAATTTCTGAATAATAAGACTTTTTCTCCAGAATTTCTGGGAACCAATAACCACCAATGTCGTGTTAAAGATCTTTTTTTTTTTGTTGAATTATACTGCTACCTATAATAAGAGAGTGCTATTTTTAACAGGGCTGGTGGTCCTCTTCAGCTGGTTGTGAAGCTTTACAAGGGGATAGTCAAGCATTATGTCATAGAAAGTCAAAGTAATAAGTTACCTGATTTAGTATATAGAGCCATCAGGGAATGAGCAGAGGACATCTGCTTCTGTCCAGGAAAACAAGCTGATTCAACCCTGTCAATAAGTGAGACATGTCAATTCTAGATCATTTCAATAGCCTATTAATAATGCAGATTTGCCTAAGGATCTCCAGCTTATTTGTAAAATGAAATTATGAAGAGTTGAATTAATAGGTTCTGCCACAGATCATAGAATCATTGAGTTGGAAGGGACCTTAAGAAGTCGTCTAGTCTAACACCTGTCTTAATTCTGAGTCTTCTCTGCAACTTTGTAAGTTGCCACCAAAAGTCAGTTTACCTGTCCAAATAAATAGGTCTTAAGTCTTAATGCTTCTGTCAAGTAAATTCAGACTTTTTTAGGCTGCAAACGAAAAAATTCTCAAATGAAATAGAAGCTTGAGGTTGTGTTCCTTTTTCAAACAAACCAGAGGCACCTGAACTTGAATGTATGCAAAACATACTTTCTAATATGAAGACTGCCCTAATTGAAAGCTTAAATAGTAGATTTTAGCAGAAAAGATAACTAAACAGCATAATTTAAACTGAGTAAATTTAACTGAGCATTCAGTTAAACTGAGAACATTGTAGCTTGAGCTAGCTAGCTACCTGTTTTGCCATGAATAATTGTTCAGCTGTCTACTTTGCTTCAAGTAGCGTTTACAATTCTCAGGCGTTTTCTGATATGATAGGGATGGATTACCACAGTCCAAATCACCCCATTGCTTCAGTAACAACTAAATCAGCACCATAAAGGAATGGATGACCTAGTGATCAGGTTGTAGATTGCACCTCTTAAGAAAAATGTGTCGTTTTCCTGTGAAGACTCTTAGCAGACAGTCTCCCATTCAGCAGACATTTATAAAGTGCGTACTGTGT